AGAGGAGCTGAGCTGGAGGGATGGCTCAGAGACACTTCCAGCGAAAATAGTGGGGAGGTTTCAGGACCTCCTGCAAGAACACCCACTCCTCGCCGGAAACTGTCACGCAGAGATTCCAGAAGACGTGTTTCCGTTAAGGAGCTTTTATGTTGGAAGCGATTACAAAAGCAACCACTGTCGGAATCTGCTAGTGACTAGAGTAGCCATGTCTGAGGGGCTCCGTCACAGACAGAGGTTTGTGGACTTGAACAAACTCTGAGGGGATACGATTTTACGCACAAGCAGCTCATCATCCCATCACAGTATGCAAAGCTAATTTTTAAAATTCTATTAGACTGTTGGGATTTAATTATTTTTTTTAAAACCAGGGACTATTCCGTGATATGTACCAGTTGCTAGACAAATGTGTGTTACACGGACAATAATACCGTCATTTGAAGAACTGCTTTATTTTTGTTGTTGTTTAGTCGTGTCCGACTCTTCGTGACCCCATGGATCAGAGCACGCCAGGCATTGCTGTCTTCCACTGCCTCCCGCAGTTTGGTCAAACTCATGCTGGTAGCTTCGAGAACACTGTCCAACCATCTCGTCCTCTGTTGTCCCCTTCTCCTTGTGCCCTCAATCTTTCCCAACATCAGGGTCTTTTCCAGGGAGTCTTCTCTTCTCATGAGAATTCAGTATTGGAGAAAGTATTGGAGACTCAGCTTCAGGATCTGTCCTTCCAGTGAGCACTCAGGGCTGAATTCCTTAAGAATGGATAGGTTTGATCTTCTTGCAGTTCATGGGACTCTCAAGAGTCTCCTCCAGCGCCATAATTCAAAAGCATCAATTCTTCGGCGATCAGCCTTCTTTATGGTCCAGCTCTCACTTCCATACATCACTACTGGGAAAACCATAGCTTTAACTATATGGACCTTGGTCGGTAAGGTGACGTCTCTGCTTTATTTTAAGATTGTAATAAAATTTCATAGGCATAGAATTGTAGTGCTGGAATGTACCTCAAGGCTCATCTAGTCCAACCCCCTGCAATTCAAGGATGCTTTATTTATGTAGACCATTAAATCTTCTAGAATTTGCTTCTAAATTCATTGAAGTTAAAACAAAATTCCTCATCCATGTCAAGCCAGTTACATTTTTAGACCAATAAATGTTTACCCTATTTAGCATTCTTGCTTGTTAACTTTTGACATTTGTCCTTTGTTCACAGTAAACAAGCTTGATACCTTAACTCCCTTT